AAACCAAATTTCAAGCAGCTCACGGCATCCAGCAACTTAGTTGCCTCTTGTATTTGTTTTTCAAGGGCGTCTATGTTTGTCGTTTCCTAAAAAGAATAAAGATAACAAATGTAGTTAAGCATATGGACAATAGAAAACCTTCGTGAATATGATACGACGCGTAAACCAAGCAAAAATCAACTTTCTGACCCAACCCAGAGGAACGGAAATAAGGACCGGAGATTGTTAGCGACCAAGCAATATGCTGTTAAAAGCAAAATTAAGGTAAAGTAACCAGTGGAGAAATGGTCCATAACGTACGGATTCAGCCGATGACTTGAAAGCCTTCAACTTATTAGTGTATAAGGTAGTGAGATGTTTCAACTCCAATATTGACCTATGAAGGAAAGTAAAAACAGCCTATTACTTTTCCTTCTTTTCATTCAGACTTTCTATTTGATCAATCTTTGCCTCAATTTCCCTCAACTGTTGCACTGCCTGGGGAACGTAAACGGAAACGGTTACAACCAACCAAGGTAGATTTTGATTGGGCCAATTTTGCTTCCTCAGCAACCTTTTGAAGCTTCTCCTCAAGCTCAGCTACAAGTTCTTCTTGAGCATCCCTCTTTTTCTCCAAAGTGGCAGCAGCTCTTAAGTAATGTTGGAACTCATCAAACAAAACTACGCACTTTTTACTCTCTTCAGCTGCTCTCTGACTCTCCTCCAACTTTAGCAGACATTCCCTCAGATCCTTTTGCGCAGCGTCTATCTTGATTTCAAGATTATCCCGACTTTTATGGGCAGCCCTGACTTCTACCTCCAACTGAGTTGATACCATAAGAATCGTAAAGACCGTACAGCTTTCTGTTCTTCTTTAATTGCTTGAAGTTCTTTGTCTTTTTCAGCAAGTTCGGCTTCAAGTTTCGCATTACTCTCATGTGTCTCCAAAATCCTCTGTTTTAAAGCATCCATGTGACCGATAACGTAGCACAAAAGCTAGCTTATTGACACCAGCTATTTGACAAAACGCTCAGCGTGTCATTAAATTAAACAATGTATTTACCTCAACACACATAAAGCAATGCTGAAATCAGTATTGTAGTTGCACGTAATTTAATTTGTGTTAACCTTGTATTTTTGAATGAATGTAGGTAAAATTTGGGCCCGAACGCTTGTTTATAAAGTAAGAAAATGAAGTGAAACCTATCACTAGTGAGCACTTATGTGCAATACAAATTCG